CAATGGCTCAGAGTACGCGCCGCCCATGTCGTCGCAGGCATCAGTGCATTCGGCTAACCGCGCGCCCTCGGTTATCTCTAACGCCAGCTCGGCTGGCGAATACGCAGAATCGGTACCGAGCACGACGCCACGCGGCTCGCTCCGGTCAGCTCGCAGCGCGGCCCAGCAGAGCCGCTCACAGACGGGCGCGTCCAGTGGCGGCATGACTACGGGGGACCCACGTGACCCAGCCTATTCTGCGCGCAGCGGCAGCTACAACAGCCGCACCGTGCCCCGCGGCTTCGACGAGCGCTCCCAGGTAGCGTCTACAACGCCCAGCTTCTACAGCGCCTCGAGCTCGGTATCGGCAGCTAGTGGGACACGGCGCAGTGGCATGTCAGTAGCAGGCGTCGGTGGATTTGGCGGCAGTCAGCAGCAGCAGCAGCAGCTGGACGAGGAGAGCCTGACAGAGGAAGAGATCAATCTGATGCTCGGCAGGCTGATGGACGAAATGGATTTGAAGGACGCGCAGCGCATGCAGATGCAGAAGCTGTCGACGCAGAACAAGCTCAAGCTGATCAAGCAGAACCGCCAGCTCGAGACGTTCCAGCTCGACAGCAAGAGCAATGCGCCCGAGTACTTTTACCGCTACCTGAAGGAAACGGATATCCGGTCGCTGCCCAAGCAGATGCTCTTGCACCTGCGGATTTGTGTGACGACGCAGCCGGTAGCGTGGGTCAAGCAGTTTGTCGAGATACAGGGTCTGGAGGCGCTCTCGGAGTGCCTGGGGATCCTGAACCACTCGCGCACGCGCAAGGGCGATGACATCACAAAGGAAATGGAGATCATCCGCTGCATAAAGTCGGTAGTCAATATCCAGTGGGGCGCCCAAGACGTTCTGCGGTTCCCCTCATGTGTGCACAACCTGTGCTTCTCGATCGACGCTCCGTCGCTGCTGACGCGCCGCCTAATCTCAGAGATCCTGACGTACATCTGCTACCTCAACGTGCCTACAGGCCATGCCGCGGTGTTGAAGGGCCTCGATAAGCTGCAAAAGTTCCGCGAAATGCAGAAGCGCTTCGAGCCCTGGATGCGGGCCCTCGAGACAGCCATCGACGGGCGGGGCCGCATGGGCAGCAAGGTGGGTGCCTCCGATGAGCTGCGGCAGATGGGTGGCACCGCCGACCGCGATCTGACAGACTATGTCCTCTCGAGCATGATTTTTGTCAACGCGGTCGTCGGTGTCTCGGACGACGTTGAGATGCGCAACCACTACCGCAACCAGCTTAATGCGGCTGGCCTCTCGCGCATCATGAAGAAGCTGCGCCAGGGCTTCGACAGCCCCCTGATTGCCCTGCAGCTCAACAAGTTTGAGAAGGACTCGGAGCAGGACCATGCCGATGTGCTTGAGCTGTATAACCAGCAGATCATGCAGGACATGACCGACCCCGAGGAAGTATTCCAGGCGATTATTGCCCAGATCGACGACGACGAGAGCGCACGTGAGCACTTTTTGTCCATCTTGCAGCGTCTGCTTCTGCTGCGCGACGACTTTATTGCCGACTCTGCCTCCGTTGCCGAGAGCACGTCGGGCCGGCCCACCAAGGCCAAGTACTACCAACTACTCGACGAGATCACCACCCAGGTTGTCATGGATATTCGCACCAGCGACCAGATCGGCTCGGACTACGCCTCCGATGAAGACCGCCCGCTGGCCCGCAACACCGACTCGTTCACAAACCAGTACGGGGTCAGCGTTGCCGGCATCATCGACAAGTTCTCCAACGAGGAGCAGCTCGAGGAGGCCGTGCGCGAGGCAAAGGACCTGCGCGAGCAGCTAGAAAAGGTCACCAGGCAGAAGAACGAGCTCGAGCTCGAAGTGTCGCTGAAATCAGAGGGCCTTGTCGGCACGCTGAAGACAAAGATCTTTGCCCTTGAGGACCTGCTGCGCATGTCCCGCCATACCATCGAGGCATTGCAGACCCAGATCAAAGAGCTGCGCGACCAGTTTACGCAGAAGCTCGCGAAGCAGGACTCACAGCTCAAGCAGCTGTACGCCGCGCTGCAGGATGAGGCAGGCGAGCACGATATGCTCAGGCAGCTCAAGAACGACCTGACGATTGAGAACGAGGTGCTAAGAAGCGGCGTGGCGCTGCAGGTTTCCGAAGATAACCCCGACCGTGTTGTGCTCAACCACGATCGTCTGCTGGCCGAGATCGAGAAGCTGAAGCAGGAGCGCCCAGATCTCAACCGCATGACAAAGGCCCGCCAAATGCTGGAGGAGCTGCTCTCGGAAGCCGGCCAGGGTCTGACGTCCAAACCGGCCGGTGCCAAGCCCACAGCCGCTACCTCGGCCGCTGCCAATGTTTCCAAAGCAACTGCTGCTCCAGCTGCAGCTGGCGCTACCTCGCCGCAGCCGCAGGCAGCTAACTTGCCAGAGGGCACCAGGGTGGGCACCGTCACGATGCAGTCGTTGAGCACTACCACCGGCAGACTGCCCGAGTTTGCCAAGGAATTGCAGGACAAGCTGGGCAAGCGCCAGGGCAACATTGCTGTTGCCAAAGAAACGGTTGACGATGGCGGTGATTCGGAAGCCCAGTCTGCAGGTGCTATCGCCGATGGTATTACAGCCGACGATACTGCTCCTGCTGGCTCTGCTCCTGCTGGCTCTGCCCCTACCGGCTCTGCTCCTGCTGGTGGTGATATGGCCCAGGGATCTGACTCCAATGCAGTTCCTGCTGCCGACAGTGCAGCTCCTGCTGCTGCTGTCACTGATCCCTCTGCTCCTACTGGCACTGCTCCTCCGCCTCCAGCTCCCCCGCCGCCACCCATGGTTGGTGGTGCCCCTGGATTGACGCCTGGCGCCTCCATTGGGGTTCCTCCGCCTGCTCCTCCTCCGCCGCCCATGGCCGGCGGCGCTCCGCCTCCGCCTGCTCCGCCTCCACCACCGCCCATGGGCGCTACAGGGGCAAACTCTGGTCCGACCGCATCGGCGCTGGCCGGTATCAAGCTGCGCTCGACCAAGAGCGACACACCAGCAGCAGCCCCCCCACCAGCACCCCCCGCCCCGGGCGGTCCGCCAGCACCGCCGCCCCCGCCGCCCCCTGGCGGTCCGGGAGCACCACCTCCACCGCCCCCTGCACCGGGACTTCTGGGACCGCTGCGTCGCAAGGAGCTGCGGTACATCCCCAAGGTGAAATTGAAGGCCCTGCAGTGGGAGAAGCTGAGCGACCAACACGTCGACAAGTCCCTGTGGTCCGAGCTCGAATCGCGGGCTGGCATCGACGAGAAGCACGTCCTCGACACTCTGCACACCAAGGGCGTGTTTGAGTCAGTTGAGCGCATGTTCGCCGCCAAGCAGGCGGTCGACATTTTCGCGCTCCGCGAGAAGCGGCGCAAGGAGCGCGAGCAGCAGCAGCAAGAGGAGATCACTGTGCTCGACTCGAAGCGCGCCTACGACCTCAACATCATGCTCGGTATGCTCAAGAAGTACTCGTTCAAGGACCTTCGCCTGGCCCTTCTGCGCATGGACAACTCGATCCTGACGGAGAACGTGCTGAAGCAACTGCTGCAGTTTGTGCCCACGCCCGAGGAGCGCGGGTTGCTGTCGGCGTATCAGGGCCGCCCCGACCGCAAGCGTCTGTCCCGCCCCGACCGCTTCTTCCTGGAGACAATGAAGGTCTGGCGGTACGAGCAGCGGCTGCGTGTCACGACCACCTGGGCGACATGGAACGAGGTGTTCCGCGACCTGCAGAGCGACGTCGCGTCTGTCATGACCGCATCGCATGCTGTCGCCACCAGCCAGCATTTCCCGCAGGTGCTGGAGGTCGTCCTGTCGATCGGCAACTACATGAACGGCTCTGGCTTCCGCGGCGGCGCGTTTGGCTTCAGGATTGCCTCGCTCAACCGCATGATGGATACCAAGGCTGATGACAACAAAACCACGCTGCTGCATTTCGTTGCGTCCACTGTCGAGGAGAACTTCCCTGATGCGCTCGAGTTTTTGCAGGAGCTGAAGCCGGTCGACAGCGGCTGCCGCGTCTCGTACGCCGAAATGAAGGCCGACATGGGCGACATGCGCCACCGCCTGCACGATGCCAAGCGCGAGCTCGAGTTGCTGCGCGAGCAGCGCGAGCTCGAGCTCAAGGAGATCGCCATCGAGAACGAGAAATCCGCGTCGGAGCCCAAGGTTGAGGGCAGCGACAGCTCGCCGGCTACCGACTCTGGCGACGACTCGTCCAGCGAATCGCCCAACGGCAACCTGACCACCAGCTCGGCCTCCGACCCGCAGGACCGCTTCCTCCTGACCGTGCGCCGCTTCCTGATCGAGGCCAACGAGCAGTTCGATGCGCTCAACTCGCAGTTCACCGCCATGGAAGACGCCTACAGCAACTCGGTGCTTCTGTACGGCGAGGACCCGCGCTCGATGACGCCCGAGGAGTTCTTTGGCATCTTCAAGACCTTCACTGCCTCGTTTGACCAGGTCATCCGCGACAACCACCGTGAGCGCGAGCGCAAGAAGGCTGCCGAGAAGCGCCGCAAGCAGATTGAGGCCCAGATCGAGCAGAAGCGCCTCAACAGGCAGAACCGCGCTGCACTGCTTGCCAATGGCGCGTCGCGCATCCGTGTCGATGCCAATACTGAGGGTGCTGCCTCGTCCGACTCTGCAAATGACTCGGCATCACCAGCTGCTGCTGCTGCCGCCGCCGCTACTTCTTCTTCCGGCGGTGCTGGAACTGAGAACGGCGCGGTTGACGACCTGCTCAAGTCGCTCATGGCCGGCACCGATCTCGAGAGCGTTGAGGCGTCCAAGCGTCGTCGCCGCAGGGAGCTGATGAGCATCCGCCGGCGCAGCAGCCTGCGTCGAAGCGTGCACCGCACCAGCATTTCGATCAAGGCCCTGCAGATGCTGAAGGATATCAAGGAGGAGGATCTGACTGGCGAGTCGTCGGAGCCCGTGCCGCCGTTGCCGTCGCCCAACTCGGCAATGATGCGCGCGCATCGCACCAAAATGGCGACTATCACTGAGGATGACCCTAACCCCAGCCCAAGCCGCGGGTCTGAGGAGCTTCGTGAAGCCCGCCGTCGCTCCCGCCGCCAGCTCCTCGACGACAATTAACCAACCCTGGTCTGCATGTTCCTGCTAAATACACTATGGCTAGTCCTACACGACCCACGCAGCATGTCCGCAGCACAATCTATCCTGCATGGCTATGTGCTTTGGAATGTTCTGTGTTCTCCGAGCAGATTCTTTTTTGGTATATTATCATACCTAATCATGACATTTCTAGAAACATTACCTTATACACATCTCTTTGGTCACAAGCAGTTGCCAGCCTCCGCGTATCCTGGCTGATTCTTGGACAAGAGGGAGCGACGCTAATGGACGCTATGCATTGATTTTTTTTGCGCTGCCGTGTCCTACTGGTTGGTGCTTGCTGCAGTTGCTGGTCTCTGCCCGGTGCTGTTCGCTGCTGGATCGACCGCAAACAGTGGATCGTTCTTGATTTTTCAAGATGGAGTAGAAAAATGTTTCTGAAAATAAACTACGAGAAAGCTCCCATGCTACCCAAATAAAAAGGCTCAGTGATGGACGTTGCTGCTGAGAACATTGTTTTCTCCGCCATTCCCCTGTCACCTCCTTACATAATCCTCGAATTCCTTACTAATAATGAAAGGTATGAGTATCCGTCGCCTTTTCACGCTCGTCCTTCTGGGCGCCACCATGGCCTGCCTTGCCATCGCGCAGACCAACGGCACGCAGCACAAGACTGTCCCGCGTATTGTTGGCGGCTCGCCGATGACTAGCAAGGGCTACGGCTTCACCGCGTACATCATCGCGCATGGCTCGGATAACACCGCCGGCCTTTGCACCGGTGTCCTCATCACCCCTACCGCCGTCATCACCGCAGCCCACTGCGTGTTCCCCGACTCCAAAACCTCCTACGGTGCCGCCGACTATGAGATCTGGTTTGGCCTCGACGCTCCCACCCAGGCCACGAAAACACCGGGATTCAAGGTCAGCAGAATTCAGTGGGCGTCGGACTACTCTCTGACCACGCTCCTTGCTGATGTTGCTGTTCTGCACCTGAGCAGCCCTGTGCCCGACACTGTCGCTGTCCCGACCAAGATTTATACCGGGCCAGTCTACCAGGACACGCCTGTCTGGGCTGCAGGTTTTGGCAGAACCAGTCCGAATGACTCGAAGTCGCAGTCGTCGGTGCTCATGTACGTCGGACTTCGTCTTGGCTCAAGCTCGTACTGCAATGCCCACAACAACAACTACGACAGCTCAAGCCAGCTCTGCACTAGCTACCTGTCTGGCCGTGACACCTGCCTTGGTGACAGCGGCGGTCCGCTGATGACACCGACCGACGGCGAGTACCCCATCGGAGTCGTCGGAATCACGTCCATGTCGACCTATCCCCAGAATGACCCTAACGCTATCTGTGCCAGGTCAGACATTACCGGGTACTACACGAGGCTGGAATACTTCATTGGGATGATCACAAAGGCCGTTGGAGTGAGTGCTAGCGAAATCACTGTCAGCAACACGACAACCTCGCGCCCTGCGAAAACCGACGACAATACCGATAATGAAGCCGTGACTGCAACTCGTGCCAGGAATACTGATGCAGCCCCCACGTCGTCTCGCTCATCCCTCCCTACTGATGCCTTTTCGTTCTCCTACTCGTTCGAGTCGTACTCCTACACAAAGCCTCCGTCCCCCACCCTTTCCTTCCTTTCGGGTGTCGTTATGCTGAATTCTGCTTCTCCCCGCGCTGTAGCCTCGGTGGTGGCTTTGGTTGCTGCAGCTCTTCTGCTTGCTTAAGTTCTAAAAGTTGATATCTTGACCATAAGAATTTTCTCCCTATCCTTTGTCTAAATTTGCCCGATACAACCTAAATGATGTGCCCGAGAGCTACTTGCCGCTACAGTACCGTAACGGCGCATGGTCTCACCAGGTCCGAGCATTTGGACCCCGTATTTCCTACCAAGAGAAATCAGGCGCCTTTTGCAGATGGCCGCTGTAGGGATCATCCGTTTCCTTCTCCCGGTCTGCAGTGTCTGAAAATCCTTGCCTGTTGAGAACAAAAGACGGTGACCCGAATGCCGCTATTTCAATAAGCACCGTTGGAGAGTGGGGCTATAAGAAGGCAGCCCTCGGTCCAGGCGGTCCCACACAAGCCTGTCACCGCAGCAACAGCAACAGCAGTCTTTTGTCTATACGCCTAACATCTACCCTATCTCCTGAAAATGCGCCTTTCCACCCTTTTCCGCCCAGTATTCCTCGCCACAGCCGCATCATGGGCAGCTGCACTGCCTGAAAGCCCCGAGGCACGCGCCGAGGATGGTGCTGCTGCTGCTGCTGCCGTGCCGCGTATCATTGAGGGAGCCCCCGTCTCCGACAACAGTCTCGGGTTCACTGCTCGTATTGTCGCCAGGCCTCTCTTCGATACAACTCTCTGCACCGGTTCACTGATCGCTCCCAACGTCGTCCTCACTGCTGCCCACTGCTTGACATATGTGGGCAACATCAAATTCTTTGGAGTCCCGCTATCCATCACGTTCGGCTATTCAAGCACCTCACCTGGCCAGACATACAACTCGACCAAATACTATATCCATCGCGGCTATGACACGGAGCTGGTCCACCACGATATCGGGGTGATCATCCTTCAAACCAACGTCCCGGCCGATGTTGCTACGCCCGTCAAAATCTACACCGGTGGCTACAACGAAGAAACTGTATTCACGGTTGCCGGCTACGGTGTGACTAAGGATGGAAGCACTAAGCCTGCAGACGAGCTGATGCAGGCGGAGCTCAAAATTGGCGACAAGGTCTTTTGCGAGCACTCTTACCCTATGTGGGATATCGCGACCCAGATCTGCCTTGCTCGCAATGATGGGCGCGATACTTGCGTGGGTGACTCTGGCGGCCCTGCTGTTGTCCATGACAAGGATGGCAAGATTGCTCTTCTGGGTATCACTTCCTTTGGTGCCGGGGCCCAGCTGAGGAACCCAAAGTGCGGCGCAGATAATGTAGCTGGCTACTACACCGACGCTTCAAAGTACATCAGCTGGATCGCCTCTGCGACAGACTTGAAACCAGCCAAATTTACGACAGCCAACTCGACTGGAAACTCTGCCACGCGGCCATACAATGGTGACACCACAAACAGCTACTTCAGCCAGTATATGGAGCTATTGGAGGCATCCTCACTAGAGTATCTTGATGTGGAGGAGACGACTGCAGCACCTGTGGTGAATGGTGCAAACATTGGACATTCCTTGCTCCCTTCGCTCGGTACAGGTGTGGGGCTGGCTGTTGTTAGTCTGCTCTCAGTTGTTGTGTAGTGATTTCCCGTTTTCTCAATGAAAGGTAATACGAGGATGTGAATCTAGGCAATCGCTTGCCCTTTTTTATTTGAAGGCTACACGAATATTTGTTGAGGGCCTGCATGAGAGGAGCGAATGCTTCGTATTCTTCGATGCAGTCAGGGCTACATTTGGACAAATCGAAATAGGATGAATATGAAATAGGGGTGTGGTACTGTAGTGTCAAATAGGTAGTAGCTTAATGAATATCCACAGCAGGTAGGTTAGGAAGAGATGGGTTATTTTGCAGCGGAGTCACCACTTTTCATCCTTTTTATTTCGTCGTTGTCCTTGAACACTGCATACTCCCTAATATGAAATTTGGTAATATAGTTACCACTGCTGTATAGACCACTCCGAGAAGGATGTGTATTTGAGTTCATAAAACATGATATGTTGCTATATCTGTTTCCTGGGTTGGTTGGTTGTGAGAGGCTATTTGGATTTTTAGTATACAGGCGGCGTACTTGTTTGATGGTTGGGAAATTCATGCTGCATGTTTTTGATAGGAGCAAGTGGATATTTTATATAATCCATGACTTTTATGGATGAGCAGTGATGGCTATAGATATGCTACGTAGCAATGTACACAAGATATTATTTTACATAAGCTACAAGCGCTATGAATATATCTGGCACATTCGTGTAAACTACTAAAGCGCATTCTTTGGGGGTTTGATATCATCGTGATTTAGGATTGGTATCGCGGCTTTACGAAAGCTGTTAAATTCTGGTAGTAGTTTCTCAAAACCATTGCCATTGTCATGGACACAGGTATCCTTGCTCTCCTTGATGTCAGACATGCTGTTCAGTGTGTGTAAATTGATTCCTAGGTAATAGACGCTTGCGAACAATATATTGGATGGGCAGTGGGAATGGCGGCGGAAAACCACACAATTTATATGTGCACACTTGAATGGTTGTATCTCATCTGTTACACCCTGCTGTAAACAGACTAACAGCAGGCATGGAAAACGCTTTCCAAATCACAACACATCCCGACTTGGCTATACTATATATATTCTGAACATACAAGACTTGCCTTGTGTCAAGCACAAGTCACGTTTCTAGCAAAGAACTATCTGAATGCTGAGTAAAGACTTTACACAGGTAGATAATATTGCTGGTATCGCTAGTCATTGTCAATAGATTAAACAAACTACTCATTTTATACCAATCCCCTATTCTGCTAAGCAAAAATGTGTGCTGCCTCTTGCCCTCTGAGTATCAACCTGGTTGTTGGTCATGTCTGTACTCCATCTCCTCACTATGGCGGCTTTGTTTAGTATCATGAAAAGACGCCACCGTCGATCATCGGCCATAGCATTTTGCCTAAGCAAAATATCAGCAAGTAGCAGCTGTCGTATCGCGGGTATGGCCCAAAGCAATTCATGCCAAGACATTTCTGCTGGCACGGAAGCTGGCTCACTGGCCATTCAGTCGAGTCTACGAATAAACTCATACCTACGCAATAATGGCGCAGCTGCCATAGTCAAAATCCCACAGTCCAATTACTGCAGCTGCAACGGGCACATTTGACGCCGGCAGAGCCGAAAGAAGCGGCGTAGTGGCACATCAATGTCTGCTGATTGTTCAGACATGATCTTCATTGCAAACATCAGGTCATGAATTTTCCCGCCACCGGCCTGGCGAGAGAAAAGCGGGAGTAAGGGGTAGCTATTCGCTCCAAAGTATAAATTGAGTAATTCATTTTTTGTGCCGTTCCTTGTCATCTGCTTTACTCATTTTTTCTTTTCTTCTTTCACACCACACCGCTGCAACACTATATAAAAAGGTACATATCTTTCTGTTTTATCGCTCGCAAAAATCATGCCAGCTAGCAATAACGTGACGGATGTTTTGGCCAACCAGTACGATGCCGACCACGAAAATGAGGTGGAGGTGGTTGCCAAAAAAAAGTTCATCTGCAAAAAGTGCCACAGTGAGTATGAGGCGAAAGAAGACTTGGACTGGCACTGGACAATCTCGCACAAGTACATGCAACCACCCAGCTAACCGAAAAATAAGATGTACTTTCCAACGTAAAAAATAAATTCAGCATCCGCATATTCATTGGGATGTGCCAACTTTGAGTAGAATGTCCTAGAACCATCTTTTGTTTCTTATGACACCAACTTGGAGCCGTGCCATACGTAAAGGAGTCAATACTGGGGGTCATGGATACCATGTGACCCGGAATTAGGAAATCAGGCAACGGCCGTTCGTGCTTGGTATCACATTTTGTTGATCTGGCAGCCTACTGGGGAACTGGCAGTGTGGAATAAGATGCGCTCCATATGACAAGATGCTAGTTGGGTGGTGACGGCCTTCCATTATATCGCTTCGCACATGCAAGCATCACCAGCCTGCAGTAGAATGGTTTACTCATAAGAGCACATAATGGCGAGTCTACACTATCAAAATCCGTATTTTAGTTCTACAGAGTTCGCACTAGACTTTTCCAATTAGTAAGAGAGTTATGACAAAGCAATATCAATTGTGTATGTTGTGTCTCGGGTACGATACACTTAGATAGACAGCCCCTGCAACTGTCTAGAACACGTTTACTCTCCAAGCACCTTTCCACGACGTATATTGAACGTATGAAATATGCTGTATGAAAGAAGGAAGGAGGAATCGCCAGGTGAAAGGGCAGGTGCCCGTCTAAGTAGTGGCGCCGGTCGCCCAGAATAGTATGGCCGGCCATTGTGGCCTAAAGGTCTTGATCCATGGGTTCCTAAGATCATAAGGATTTGGAACCACAGTGTAGTTTCCGTAGCATGTCTGGCAGCTATTCTGCCATTCGAATACATGTTGAAATGCAGCATAGGTAGTTAGTATAGATATGTGAGGCTGCTATTGTCATCGGCGGAGGCATTTTTAGGGATATGTCTTGGCAATATAGTTGCACAGAGACACCGAGTCACGGCAAGAAATAGATACAATCTACAACTTTTGTGTTGCTTTCCACAAACTCTCTTCCACTTCCATCCCCAGTATCTCATTTTTAGCTAATGTCCCGCTTCAAGGTATCATCTCCCAACCCCAGTCCAGTAGCGTGTGACGGTGAACACTATTGCCAAGTCTGCGAGCGAACATTCACCACTAAGGAACAGTACGACAAGCACAATGATATGTACGGTAGATATATGACAGGAAAAGTGCGGGAGGTCAAGTTTCTAATAAATTAAGTTGGCTATCTATTTGTTCTACTGTTGCTTGCACATTTGGCTATTCAAAGTTTGAAATGACACATCTCGCAGTGTCGCATTATACCGGGAATGGCGTGGCATGCATGTTTACAAATACAAGGTTTCGGCCTGCACCTGTTGATGCTATCAGAAAGCTGATGGCAGTACGACTGGAATACAGAGGGGAGTGGTTTACTTGAAATCACCGGACAGGCCGAGTATAAAACCTGGCGAGCTAGAGTGGTCATGGAGCTGGTGCCTTCTCCAGCAACTCCCCAGCTATTCACCTCCATAAGTTTTCCAAGAATCAACATGGCTGCTACTGCTAATGCGGCCACTAGCAAACTTGCTGGTCTGGTACTCTGCATCAGAAACGCTCAGTACCCGTGCCCGAGCTGTGGGCTAGTGTTCTTCACCTCATTTAACCGATCCGTCCATTGTCGCGACTGGCACTAAGGCTAGACGCTTGTGTGACGTCAGTATGAAGTCCACCCGAAAATTAATGCATGGCCATGTGCTCCAAGCGCTGTTGACGGCTCCCCCCGCAGCAGCGCTTTTCTTTTCTCCACACTATTATCAGCTCTTTTTACTTTTATGTTCAATTGCAATTATGAATTCTCCAGACGACAAAGACCCGCCAATTTACGACCCAGCACATGCCAGTGACCTGCTGACGCAAACAGCAATTGCATTGAGCATTGGCGGCACAGCATTCCTGGCGTTCTGCCTGTTGCGGTTTCGCTGGCCTTCTGTGTATGCACCACGCACACGGCTGCAGTACTCGGCACCAGCACGGGTTGGTAAGACGTTTCTGGGATGGGTGACCATGGTTCTCCATGTGAAGGACTACGACATCATGTACAGCGTGGGGCTGGACGCATTGCTTGTGCTGCGACTGTTCAAGATGCTGAGTGCGCTGTGCACGATGGCAGCAGTCATTGGGCTGGTGGTTCTGGTGCCGCTCAAGGTCATATTCGACGAAACAAATCACTCTGGCGTCAAGAAGGATGGTACCAAGTGGACGTTGTACGACTCGGTCACCACAGCTGCATTGGGCTCTGAGCAGCCATTAGTCGTGCATTTTGCTTTCGCCTACGTGTTCACAGCCCTGGTGTACTTTTACTTTACGCGATTTGCGTACCAGGCAATATCTCTGCGGTGGCACTACCTTTTGCGCGTTCGCAATACCCGGCCGGCTCGCTCTATCATGGTCACAGGAATCCCAAGTGAGCTGGCGACCGAGGAGGGCCTGAAGCAGCACTTTGAGAAGAACCATCTTGGCGAGGTGGTCTCGGTCGAGATTGTGCCTCGGATTGCAAGAGTCGGCGTGCTGGTTCGCAAGCGAGCGCAGCTGCTGAATCTCATCGAGGACCAGATCACAGTCCTGCTCGGTAATCCGTGTCCGGCCGATGGCTACGACCGAGAGCACCTGCTTGCCTTGATGACATCGCATGAGGGAGCAGAGCGCGAGCACGCAGTACAGCTGATTAGAGAATGGTCGCTGCCGCGGTTCCGCGAGTGGGATCTGGAGGGCCGCATCCAGCGGATACAGAAACTGATGGGCCCGTTTCACCATGTGGACGGCGTTATCCAGAATATGCGGCAGCAGTGGTTTGCCACATATGACGGCAAGAGCGAGCGCGGATCGACAGTCGGGTTTGTTACGTTTAGTGATGCGGCCTCGGCACACTTGGCTGCGCAGACCTTCTCGTATTCGCAGCCATTCCAGTTGCGTGCGCAGCTGGCGCCCGAGGCCCGCGATATCCACTGGGAGAATGTGACTATGACGCTGTGGTCGCGGCTCATTCGTGGGGCTTTCTCTCTGATCGGGTACATCACGATGTTGACATACTGGATTGCTATGGCCACATTGCTGTCAAAGATGATGGAGCCAAAATCACTCAATGACCACTTCCCGTCACTGCCCGATCTGGAGAAGAACAAGTGGTTGAGCAGCCTGTTCAGATACAATACGCCAGTGCTGGTTTTGTCTCTGATGAACACATGCGTGCCGTATATCCTGAACTGGGCAGCCGAGCTGTCCGGAACCCAGAGCCGGTCTGCCATACAGATGTCGGTTCTGCAGCGCTATTTCCTGTTTCTGGTGGTGATCGTCCTTCTCACAATCTCGGTATCGCAAACTATCTTCCGCGAGTACGACAAGTGGATAGAGAATCCGAGCGAGATCCCCAAAATGTTCGCTAGAAGTCTACCCAAGGCAGCGCCGTTCTTTATGGACTACATCATCCTGTATGGGCTGGGGTATCTTCCTGTGCAGCTGCTGCAGCTGGGGTCCATATCGCTCGCCGTGTTCCGGCGCATAGTATGCAGGACGCCGCGCCAGTTCGCAGATGCCCTACGGCCCAACTACATTGACTGGTCATTTATTCTGCCGCAGCCCATGCTGATATTCGTGATCTTGGCAACCTACTCATCGCTGGCGCCGTTTATCCTAGTACTGGCCGCCATGTACTATGCGATTGCGTACCTGGTCACAAAATATCTGGCATACTACGTGTATGCGCGGCAGTTTGAGACTGCCGGCGCCATGATCATCCCAGTCCTCAAGGTGCTGATTGGCAGCATGTGGTACTACTACCTGCTAATCATCGGGCTCTGTGCGCTGAATGTCTCATTCGGGTACGTGCTCTTCCTGATCCCAGTGCTTTGGGCCAACGCCTACCTGATCACGTTCGTGTCAAAGATGTTTTACGCTGACGGTTCGTTCGTGCCACTTGATTTGTGGAATCAGCACGATGAAGGACACCTTGGGTCGACCCCTCATTTGGCTGAATCCCGGACTGAGGGTGTGTCTCGCACTGACAGTAATGTCAACTATACAGGGGAGACGAGCCATGCAACCTCGACTGACTACCTACTGCCACGGCCACATGTTCCATCACCATTTGGCGCTGCCTTGGATGCATTGGACCAGGAGTCGCGCGGCTCAGTCAGCAGGGCATGGGAGTCGATGAAGCGGCGCGTGAAAACAGTCGCCGGTATCATATATAGCTGGATCTATGTCAACCCGCAGCGCACGCCGTCAGTGTTCCGCGACCTTGACCGCAGCTACAGCATCAATACCGAGGATCTTGAGCAAGGCTCAGACGAATCCTTGTCGGGTGAGCTGGTGCAGTCGCCGAGATTCAGTGTGACATTCCAGGAGAACGGTGGCAACAATACTGCCAGCATGCGTGCTGAGCTAATGCTAGGCCGTGACCAGCGGGCATCGCGGATCGAGCCAGACGCTTACACTGACTTTAGCCAGTCGCCAATATCGCTACTGGAGGGTGTCCTTGACGAAGGACTGGCAGCGTATGAGCACCCGTATTTAGTTGGAAACTTGCCTACATTCTGGTTACCGATGAAGAAGCAAGCTGAGTCGGAATAATATATACTGCTGGGATATGATATGAGGAAAATGGTTAGGCATGGGTACTACACAAAATACATGGCACTGTCAAGCCGCCGATGCGTACGAATAATCATTGCCCCCTTGCTAGGTCCTCGCCGGTGTGCTGACCTTATTACAACATCAAAGCCGATGCCTGATTCAACGAAATGGCAGCGGGCGCGGTCAGCTACATGATGTGCATAGTAAGCCGGGTGGAGCCAGCAATGCCGAGCGAGTGCACAGGGTGTAGGTATAGCAGAGGTGATAGGTGGGCTGCTGCAGGTGGTCCTGGGAAAACAGGGCGTCATCATGCAAAACATAGTGGTGCGTCGGGCGCGACGTCCCGCGCAAGGCTGCGTGCAAGTACAAATAAAAGTTGGCCATGCCTGGCAGGGTGACCGAATGATCAATGCACATTCCGGGCATGCAGTTGCCGCTGCGGTCGCCGTCGTGACTGATGGGGAAGAAGCGCGTGCTATGCCGCAGCGCTGTCTTTCGGCAATCTCACACACCTCCATTGAGAACATCGACCCGTTCCTGCATAGTATCCCGGGCAGGAGCGGATACTGGAGCCGGATGTTGTAGCGCAATTTGTAGCACTCGGCAATGGTAATAGCCTTGGTTTGATCGATGTGGTCAGGGTCAGTTCACTCGAACATCTCTTAGCTCAGAGGCCGTGCTGTGACTCCAGCCGCAGTGAACGCTGTTGAGCTACGGACTGTTTTGTGCCGGATATTAGACTCGATACCTTTGACAAACTGCCCAACCATGCGAATATCTAAACCCTGCATTCTGGTACTTCGCATCACATCTGCATCGCAGACATGCAGTATCTCGAAGATTACCTTTAGCAGCGGCCCGGGGCGGAGCAACCCGATGGCTGCAGTGTTGATATTGAGAAACGGCTTGTTGTAGCATGGACGGATACTGAGGAAGTAGGTGTGACAGGCCGACATACCGTAGCCAATGTCTATGGCAGTATCGCAAGCCACAAATACGGGGTCACACTTGAACATTAAAACTTACATACCGTCAGTGTGATTGCATGAAAGGAGCTTGGAACGATAACCATGACGATATAGAAAACAAGACTGCACCTTCTAACCCTTGACATGCCAAGGAACAGAAAAGGATATTAAATCCCTATTATCGAAAACGATGGCTACGACCACCGCACTGATGTACCTGCCATGCATAGGCAGAGGATCCACTTTCCATTCTTCTAGACTCGGACTGCGATCAGTTTCTTGGGAGCGGCAAACTAAACAAGTAGCTGAGGAGAAAAGGGGAGCTGGGCGGTCCTGGATGTCAGAGTATATATACAGTTGATCTCCCATGGTAGTGTCGAGGTGTCTTGCCGTTTTGGCATCAACAGATACCATTCACTTGGATTAGAACAACAGGGTTGCTTAGACTCAGGTTTGTATCTACACGGCGTTGATATATCCCAGCACTGTTCCAGATACACCAGAAACCAGTAGTCTGGATATTGGCGACCACAACTGACCTTGGCAGATAGGCGCCAGTGTCGCAGGCAGACTAGCCTCATCCGCTATTCTAGTATTCGTTTCGTTGAGTGGTTGGTGGTTGGTGGTGTTGTGGATTGGAGCTGTCAGAATGTGCGTCCATCCTCGCCGCTCGCACTCTTAAACCCACACCCGCAGAAAGCGAGCGAGGGGGCGCAGAGCAGGCAAGATCATCGACGGGTCGAAAAAAGCAGCAGCGTCCACGAATGACCGCTGGACCCACACCTCCCTTTACGGACGGCGCACTGTCGGTCATCTTCCAGCGTGGTTCCAATGTCTATGTTCGATGAACAAAGAACTGTAAATTAACTGTAAACATAATCCTGATGAGAACAGTCGATTAAGGTTCCTCCAAGCTGTGCTGCAGCGGTGCACAATTTATACCAGCCAGCGGTTGGGGCATCTGAAAACGCAATGATGGGACAATTTCGTCACGTGAAGCATATGATTACGCGTGATGACTGAGACACTGACTCAACTCTTGCCTCAGCGCTGTGAGTCTGCTCAGAAAGCTCAGAAATAGGGACAGTACATGGTTCCAGCCATTGATTTCCAGCATTATCACCGAACACCCACACCTCCCTACTGATAGTAGCTCTCAGACCTCATAAAACTCATACCAGCAATACTATAGTGACTTGTCAAGAAATTCGGGTGTCACATTATGCTTATTAAAAAGTAGAAAAGAAAGAGGATGCGTGAATGGGGCTCACATAGTTGGTGAGTCGTCAATCAGCATTTTCCTAACACAGTAAGCATTTAACAAAATGAAGCTATGCATTATATGAAACATAACATAGGAGTTCTGCTTTAAGAAAACAAATAGTAAAGTTGCCAGAACCTAATAAATGCTATTCTGTGGCAATTTGCAGCTGGTGCTTGGGTGCTTGGATGTTTCTTGTGTTGTGGTGTGTGTATAGTCTCACAGGTCGTCGTCAAATGGTACATACATTGTTTGCTCGTCTGCATATTTCTTAGTCACTCAGACAGGTGGCTTTGCATGTGTATAGCAGACACTCCCGCCTCAGAAGTGCAACACAATTCCCTACGCACTCTACCAGCCGTTAACAGACAATGCGTAATACCTCCGTTCAAAAAAGTTTTGCTCCTCTACGTATTTCTTGCTAACTCAGACAGGTGGCTTTTGCCATGTGTATTGCAGATATGCCCGTCTCAGGGAGTGCAACCAATTCCCTTACGCACTCTACCAGGCTATATATATACAATACATAGCCCCTCCACCCCCCAAAAAAAGTTGTTTTGCATTGATGGATCCTGTGAAACCGACGCATTCTAATTATACAATTATACACTATATGAGGCAAGTGGGCGTAAGTCTCACGATAGTTCGGTGCATACGGCTTACATGGAAAGAGTATAGATACAGACAGAGCCAAGAATTTTGAATATAAACCCCAAGATGGCCTTTATGCCCCAGGATACTTTACATCTGTCTTCTCAATATCATTGTATTTCTCTTTTTCCATTTGCCTATCTGTTCCACTGCAAGTCAAGATGACGAACTCCGCTTCCACTGACATACCTGTGCTCCAATGCTTCTGCGGTTGCCAGACCTAACGTCCCAGCCAAAGTAGGTTCCCTCCATGACCCGGACGGATCAGCGCCAGCATTATCCCCTCTGGCGAACCTACTCGAGAGCAAATGGAGTCCTTTTCATTTGAGAGGCTCAAGTATCTCTATGCGCAGAAGGTTCAGTGAACAAGGACCTGCAATTCGGCGCCATCCCTCCTGCAATCGGTGCGGCGCGTTCGCGTTCTCTCGAAAATATCCAGAGATCGATTGATGTTTTCTCCATCGTGGATTACCAAGGGATGCTTCAGAGCTTTCTAGTGGGTATGGTCGGCGCCAAAGCGTATTCTTGAGATCGGGCACATTCGTGGGTGTCTCAGCGATATTCCATGCTAATGCACTGAAGCGAAATGGCGTTCAGGGTGGTGTTGACGAAACTGGCCACAAGCCCATCGTCTGCCTTGAG